ATGCCAGAATGGGAAGCACCCTTGGTACCCACTGGTAGGACAACATTCGCTGAACTACAGAAGTGATTCCAATTTCACTAGTTTGTCCACTGATGTCCTTGCACTGCTCCAGATTCCACACTGCATTTACACATCTTGTCTCCTCAGCCTCCTCCAGCTGTTACAGCTTCTGGGTCTTATCTTTCATGACATTGATATTTTTCAAGAGTAATCATCAGAATTCTGTAGAATGTCCCTTAATTTGGGTTTGACAGTTTTACTGGTACAGTGATTTTTCAAATGTGTCTTTAAAACTACTAACATCAATGAGATAGAAATTAAAATACTTGCAAATTATTCTTAGTAATTGAGGCACATATATCCCAGATTCCATTTTTGGCATAAAACACAGCTAATCCAAGTTTCACTAAAGATAATAAAGCAATCTTTCAACAATTCAATGTGAATGTTATTATAAATAATCCTCTACAAATATAAATAGAAAGGGGAAAAAAGCAGGTAAAACAAAATAATTACCGGAGAAACAAATGTAGCCTGTGTATGGAAAAGCCAATGTTAACTGACCTAGCCATTCTATAGAGCTATTTCAGAAGAAACATGAAACTGGTGTGAATTTCTAGTTAGCTGAAGTTTCACTGGCAGTAGCTTTGAAGAAGGAACTACCTAGACACCATCTAATTTGTATTATAGTTGTTACCCCCATGGGCATATATTGGTACCATATTCCATAGAAGTTTCATGGCAATCAGTACAATGTTCAAAGAATTTATGTCAAATGTGAAAAAAATCTTGGGCTAAGGATATGAATTTCTAAGCCAAATACACATTTTTGGGTACACAATATTACACTGATTCCCTTATTAAAAACGGCATGTGAGAAACCAGTTCTAAGAACCTTATTTATGAGCCACTCCATGAATCTGATGAATCCACAGCTAACAGTAGCTAAAAATTAATTCTATTTACATCAAAATCAGCAACAATTGAATTGCTCAAAAAGCACATCTGTTATTTTTCTGGCCTGGGTGTGATGGCGCACATCTGCAGTCCCAGCACTCTGGGAGGTGGAGATGGGTGGCTTAAGCTCAGGACTTCGAGACTAGCCAGGGCAACACGGTAAAACCATGTTTCTACAGAAAAAAAAAAAATTAGCTGGGCATGGTGATCCATGCCTGTAATCCCAGCTACTCAGGTGGCTGAGGCAGGAGAATTGCTTGAACCTGAGTGGCTGAGGCTGCAGCGAGCCAAGATCGTGCCATTGCACTCCAGCCTGGGCAATGGAGTGAGACCCCGTCTCTTTAAAAAAAAAAAGTTTTCTCAAGTCCCCCTAGTCATCTTTCCCTCCCATTCTTACAGAAGCCATTCCATCCAGGCCCTGATTACTGCACATCTCATCTTCCTTAATCACCTCTCAACTCTTTCCAGTTCTGGTCTTTTTGCTTTCAATCTGTGCTCCATGTTGCTGTCGGTTTTATATTCTAAAATCCAAAAAGAGATCATACTGCACACTCCACACACCCTGCAGTGAGTCTCCAATCCCCCTCAACTTCTATCTGAGCATTTAAACCCACATCAAGTGACAGCCCACAATCATCACATATTGACTCTACTCAGCCAAAACCCCGTCCTGTCTGACCTCTGTTTCCTAGAGAGCCTAGAAACAGAGAGGGCTCACTGTTTCTAGGGTGTTAGCCCTCTCTGGCTATCAGGGCTCACTGTTTCTTAGGGTGGGTTGCCTCTTTCTGGCTATCAGGGCCACGGTTCTAGGAGTGGAGCCCTCTCTTGGCTACCATAGGGAGTCACCTGATAGCTAGCACAGCTTCAAGATGCGCAGGGGAAAAAAAAAAGCACTTGGGAGTCAGCAGCAGAAGGCCAGGGCAACGGAAGGGCCGTAAAGGATAGGCCTGGGAAAACCATAGTTCTTAAGATACCTTGCCACAAATCCCCTGCAGGGAGCGCGTTTTCTTTCCTCTTGCTTTGTTAGGAGGGTGGGCGATGGAGGAGCAAGTAGAGAGGCATACGCCCAAGGCAAAGAAACGGTTTCTAGCTTTTCAATCTACTTATTCTTACAGAGTCTTTACTTAATCCTGTCTTCACGCCTTTTGGTTCACTTCGTACTCAGGTCCAGAAATCGTCCTCTCCCCCTGATTTTTACTACATCATATTGCTGTATAACTTCAGTTCTATTAAGGTTAGGACGTGCCTTTACCAACCATGGTTGATGTGGCATGCAGGCACATATGTCAAACAAAGGAGGGTGTAGAGTGGATGCATGGCAGACAGGATCAGTGTTTTTGCCGCCTCAAGAATCTTAAAATATGTGAGTGGGGAGGAAGGCAGATAAGAATACGCAATTCAAAAAGTAACAACACGATATAATAAACTTGGGAGCCAGGCACCGGTGCGCTCTACACCTGTAATTCCCTAGCCAGTTTTTGGTGAGGCCGAGGGTTGGGGGATCACTGCGCGTCGCCCGACAGACCTCGGCCGTCCAGTACGCTCTTTAAGGTGGCATCGAGACCAGCCCAACCATCTCTTACTAAAAAAGCCGCATAAAAATTAGCCAGGCATGGGTGGGCGGCGACAACCTGCTGAGTTCCCAGCTGCTTGGAGGACTGAGCAGGAGGAATTGCTTAACCCGGCAAAGAGGTTGCAGTGAGTTGAGATCGCACCATGGCACTCCAGCGCCTGGGGTGATGGAGGGAGACTCTGTCTCCAAAAAAAAAAAAAAAAGGAGAGAGAAAAGTAGAATTAAAAGTTAAGATACTAAACTAAACAGGGTCCCAAGATAGAAGAGAGTATTTACCATGAAAAGAGCAGGAGAGGGAACACTGAAGCAGAGGTTCGGAAGGAGTAGTCATGGAGGAGACAGGGCCAGTCCTCTACTGAACCTCTCTGGGCATCTGTCTCACTCTGGCTACACTCACACCATGGCACCGGTCACCTGTGACCTGTACCTGTGGTTCCCTGTTTTGAGCATGGGGATCCTTTAAAAATCGAGAATGTACTGGACTCCTAAATGACAACAGTCAAACTTTTCCTAATTGTTTATACACATACAGATTTAAGGAGACCTTGCAATAATTCTGAGGCCACCCAGTGCTTCATAACTGAAAACCACTGACCAATACTACTAATGTGATATAACCATCAATAGCACTTTGGGTAGGGTACTCTTCTATCCAATAACAATGTAAATTCACTAAGACTGTAGCTTACACTTGTTTGAATGTCTCCACTATCCTCCTCACTGCAACACCCAGCAGGTTTATGCACAGCAGCATCCCTTCCACTTACGGGTCTTCTCATGCCTTCTCGGCTCCCACACCAAAAACATTCCAGGTCAAACTGAATCTCCCATTCTCTCAACTCCAAGAGTATGGGCCACCCACACCTAGTAACTCTCCCAAAGGACATAATTCTGTCATTCTCTCTCATTCCCCTTCCACTGTGCCAAACTTCATTTAAAACTCTTTGTTCTCTTTCAAATCTGACTCAACCCACTCATGCCAATGGGCTGCGGGCTATCTGTAGACTGGGACAGTGTCCAGATCTGTAGTCCTAGCCTTAACCACACTAAATTGAGTGTGCTCTGTTCCCTAACAACTCACTGTAGTATTTCACTAATAGATCAGGAAACTTGAAGGAACACTGAAAAAGTTGAGTAGCATCACTAGAAAAAGAGCCTGATATAAAGAGTATATTTTTCCTGTACTATTCTTAAATGCATGTCTTATTGCATTTGTAGAATGCTTTGTATTTTAAAGTCAACACTTTTATGTTTTTTCCTATGAGATTATCAAGAAGCTATGTGAGAGAGGAAGGGATACTGTTACTTTCTGGAGTCAGGGAACCAGTGACTAATCCTTACAGTCCTATTCTGGATGGGTTTGACAGAGAGCAGGACCCAGATATCTGAATACAGAGCTTTTGTCACAGATTGCATCTGATAAATTATACCAACACTCTGACCCAATGATAATCAACATGACATTGACAGTTCTCTCTTTTGGTCTAAGATTTAATTCTCATATTAATCTCATGTGTTAGAAACGGATTTTATCCCCATTTTACAGATGTGTATACTGAAATACCAAAAAATGAAGCAATTTATCCAAAGTTAGCTACATTTTCTCATAACGTATGTCTTCTCCTGCTTGGGCTTCAGCTGATGGCATGCAGAATATGATCTCTGAAATAATAAAAAGTAAGAGCAGTAACATCCACTGTTGCTATGTGACAGGTACTGTGGTTAAGTAATATATTTACTAATCTGTTAAATATTCACATCAACCCTACAAAATACTATTTTCTTCACTATAGAAATAAGAAACCAGACCCCAGACCCTGAGGCTAGAAAACGGCAGAGCTCATCTAAGCCAGACTCTGTCTTAACCCTAAAGTTTGTGTCCCCTGCTGCGCTTGAAAATCTTGATGTGTGCTCTGGATTAGCTGGGGAAATCACAGTTCAGAGTCCTCCCACCTCACTCCAAGGTGCTCTGCACGCTGGATATGGGAAGGACAAGAACTGAGGCTCTGCTAAAGCTACTAATATGGGGAAGCATCCAAAGAGTTAAAACAAAAGACACACCTTCAAAATGCACTAACACACACGCATGTGCGTGCACATACACACACACACATACACACAATACTAATGATTCCACCATCACAATTACTTTACATATTGCTCATTTTCTTCTGCATGTCAAAATATTTGAACCTACAGAGACCTAGATGACAGGAATAACTGTGCACGTAACTTTTTTAGTTTTATGCTTAGCCGAGTATCAAATACAATTAAGAAGTAAAACCACGTTTTATGGGAGAAAGCTATACTAAAAACCTATGTGACTAGAATAAATGTCAGTTTTTCAAATCATGTATTTTACATGGAAGGAAGGAAACTACACTTTACTTTCCCAAAAGCAATTTATCACTGTGGAGAAGGTCTTGGCACAATTTTGTTATTTTATTATGATAAAGGAGACTCTAATTACCTTGACAGAATCCAGTAAACTCTTAGGAAAAAATCGCTTTAAACCAACATCTTTTCTGAAATATAAAAAGAAGCGTATTAACAAATAACACCACCAAATCAATTAATATAATGACAAACTTGCAAGAACATAAAAGCACTGTAAATTATTTAACGTTCCATATATTATTTAGGAAGGAAACAAGTATAATAATGCTTTAATTTACCAGTATATTCACAGGAAGGATGGGACAAATCATTTTCTAGATATGTACAGAAAACACAAATACAAGTTGATTTAAATAGAAATCCTTTTGGTTTTTCCTTTTACCCTTATTATTGAAAACTCTTCTAAAATATTCCCTCTTTGTAAATCATAATGCATTTAAAAAACTGTCCTTTTTCAGATATTGCTTGAAGGTTATAAACATCAGTTCCAACTGGGTAATATTGTATTTGTAGAGAAAATAGCTAGCCTGATCAGTAAATGACTCAGGATATACCTTACAAGTTACAGAAATAAATCCCTTAGGTTTATCCTAAAAGTTGACTATTTTTAAAAATAGACTTTTTTGATCAAGGGACTCATTCGCTTATCTCAGTTTCACATTAGGGGGAGAAAAAAAACAGATAAATTTACGTGATTTGCCCTAGGTAAAAAAGGTTAATTTATGGAAATCACAGCAATGTTCTTTAAGTCAGGCAACAAAATTAAATTATCATCAAGAACCGCAACGCTCTGGCCAAGAAAATAGGTTAGAAAGAACAGCTGATTCTTTTCCTAGTACTTTGGTTACTAACTTACTCAGATGTTTTGGCCACTAGGTGTCACTCGTGTGCTAGTAATACGAAATAATGCCTCTGACGACATTAAGGAATGTCAGGAGACACATAAAAGGATCAAGGAGAAAAGGGAAATACAGGTTTCTTTTCAGAATCACATAATATATCACATATAACAAACTGAATATAAAGTACCAAGAAACAGGGATGACTTCTTCATCCATAACTGTAAGTTGGCTGGCGTTATAAACAAAACTATAGACATCATGTCATGATACTATAATTCAAACATTTTAAATCCCTTGTTCTATAATCTGACTGCTAGTAGTACCTAAACCAATGAATTTCTCCTCTGCTAAATCCAAAACTGGTCTCAGTTCTCATTCTTTCTTATTCTGCTATTACTATGTTCATTACATCCTAAAATTATCTCAGCTTCTATGATATACTACTTTCTGGTTTTACCCATCAGTTAATTCATACAACTACTGATTTTACATTTCTGTCTCTAGCCACTTTTGTTTGTAACTTCCCTTCCTTACCTTTACAGAACCATCATTATCTATTTTGACAGTTGGATATGAAGGGGGAAAAGTATCCACACAAGTTCTTCCTTTTCATTTTGCCTCCTAAAAACACAGCGTCTTTGCATTTTAAGGATTTTGATGCCAATCATTACTGGGAAGTAGCAAAATTAGTACACAAAAGACACACTCTGGAATCTACAAGGCGGTATTCTTGATCATTTCTGCCTCTATCTACATTTTCAAGCCACTATTCCATAACAGCAAGCACTGATTTTCATATCAAAGAGGTTTTTTGTGTGTTTTTTTTTTTTTTTGAGACCGAGTCTTGCTTTGTCACCCAGGCTAGAGTGCAGTGGCCCAATCTCAGCTCACCGCAACCTCTGCCTCCCAGGCTTCGAGCAATTCTCGTGCCTCAGTCTCCCAAGTAGCTGGGATTACAGGCCTGCACTACCACACCCGGCTATTTCTTGTAATTTTAGTAGATACAGGGTCTCACCATGTTGGCCAGGCTGGTCTCAAATTTCTGACCTCAAGTGATCTGCCTGCTTCAGCCTCCTAAAGCACTGGGATTACAGGCATGAGCTACTGCGCCCGGCCTCAGAGAGTTCTTAATTTGAATCCTGGCTCTGCCATAGGATGGACTTGCTGTTAACACCTGTGAGCCTCCGGTTACTTGTAAAGTGGGGATGTGAACTACTACCACGCAGTGGTGCTGAGGTTTAAGTAAACTGTTTATGAAGTTCCTGGAACGTGAAGGGGGTAGTTTCTGTTCTGCCATAGAAGAATGCCTTAGAAAGCACTGCTGTCTGGACAGCTTCTGGTCTACACGCCCTGTGTGCCTCACTGTTTAATGCAGAAGGAGGCATGGCCTGACCTGAGGTTTGTTGGTGGACAGTAGAGGTAGTGAGAAGTCGTGAGATTCAGGGGCTACTGTGGACAGAGGCAACAGGGATGAGTGACTGGACATGAGGTGTGAGGGAATGCTGAAGCTATGCACCGAGAACGGGAAGGTGGGTGGGCACCAACAATTCTATTTTAGACATGTGAGGCTGGGCGAGGTGTACATACATGCCCTTCTAGTAGGGATTTCAAGAAGGCAACTGGCCATGTCAGTATTTGGTTGAGGGAAAGACCAAGGCAGGGAATATCCTCTCCCCGACTGTGTGGCTGTCAACTGCTATTAGTCAACCCAGTTACACATCTATTTTTCTCAGAGCCAGGCAGAAATAAAAAACTTACCATATTCATTGCTGTCACAAATAAGAAGATTAAAGATAACCAAAAAGTGTTGTATGATTCAAGAAAAATGAAAGGAAGCATATATTTTTTGAAAATAAAGACGAATACTAGGTATTGCTTTTACTTCAAAGGTGAAGACAACTCCATTTAAAAAAAAACACCTGAAGGTCAATAATTAGCATATATACAGTATAGATTTTCTTAAACTTATTTTGAGTAATAATGAATTTGTAACATTTGTCCATATGTTAGAACTTTATTGACACCTGGCAGTTGAGAAAATAAAAATGAGGCTCAAGCACACAAGGTCATGGTAAAAAGTCTGCAACACTGCCTTTAACACATTTTAATTTAATCTAGAAGTCAAACTACTTCAGGTTTTGTGATAGAGGACTCTGAGCACACCTAACGCACTATGTTCAAAGATTTTAGGGAAAGCCTATTATAGATATCTAAATTTAAAGCCTTAGGAAACCAAGCAGGGACTTGTAGGCTGTCCCATTTTTAATATGAGGTCGCCTCTCTCCACGATCTGTGTGTCTGGGACCGGTTTACAACGTGCACTCTAATAAGCAGTAGTTTTGCCTCAAGTGGCATAAAAACCTTCTTTGAGCCCAAACTCTGTACAACTGTCCTGTGTGTGAATAAAACAACAAATACAACTTATACATCATAAACAAAATATAATTACTAACCTTTATCATATAATAATTCCTGACTATATTAACTGTCAAAGGATACGTCCTAAATGCATTTAAACTCATGTAATAAAAAACTAGCTCACATGAAGCTTTTAGAATACTGCCAAACCCCAGTTACCAAACCCAAGCATCAGTTTATTAGATTCCCACATCAGTTCAGAGAAAACTCTTGAACCCATACACAGATGACAAGACACTAACATTAGGTTAGAACTGTGTTGTCCAATATGCAACCACTAGTGATATGTAGCTATTTATACTTAAATTAGTTGAATTAAATTAAAAATTATGTTCCCAACTGCAATGCTCAGCACATTTCAAGTGATGAGCAGTCCCATGGGGCTAGAGGCCACCGAACTCAGTGGGGCAGCCACAGAACAGTTCCATTGTTGCAGAAAGCTGCAATGGGTGGGGCTGGGACAGAGCAATGAATCTAGGACTTCGGGCACCCTCATTCTCTAGGGCTTGCTGCTGTGGGCCCAAAGGCTCCTCAGTAAGGGCAGAGACGGATGAAATGCATGAGCACTGGGGATAGGTGCAGAGCTACCACAGGCACAACCACACAAGGTTCCTGCCTTGCTCAGAAAGACTGGGGAAAGGAGGTATAGAGGGGTGAGGAGAGAGCTCTACCATGACAACGCAGAAGGCAGCAGATCTTGCAGGAGACAGCTGTACGTTAAACAAGAAGCCTTTCGTTGGGATTGCCTGTATATACACAGCAGAGGGCTTCTAAGTATTACCTTTCCTACTTCTCTCTCAGAACTAACAAAAACAGTTTCTATGATCTATTCACTAAGATTCAAATCATTTAGATTTGAAGCTACAAAGACTAGAGAGGCTGTATTCGTTTACTTCCTCACGGAGACTGTATGACATACTAGGCACCATAACAGATCATGGGGTAGAAAAATCACTAATATGTTTCCTTTTCTTAAGTGAGATAATTACATAAACAACTAACTACCACACAGTGTGAAAGGTACTATAAGAGTTTAAAACCAATACACTTAGCCATCGAGATTTAAGGTTTTTGTGGCCAATTTTAACCAGAACTCTCTTCATGTTTAACTGACCTCTATCCTTTAAGTGAAAGATTTAGAACACTGCTGACTGATGTGGTCTTCGTTCTCTTTTGCTAAACCTCAAAATCTCGTTCATTACTCCACTGATTCCTATTGCCATTTAGCATTTTTGGAAAATCCCTAGAGAGCTCTGCCCTCCCACATCCCTGCATGATGACTGTGCACCTCCTCGTATTCCTCCTTTCACACCATAGTGGCCATCCAGAATCGTTCAGGAAAAGAGGCTGTGTAGGAGGGCCCCTCCCCACCTGCACCAGCTGACTGCCATCAGCATTCCCCACTCACTGAGATGAATCCTCTACAGTGCCCGTCTAGTCCCAGCCTGTGGTCTTATCCTGCACGTGTGTATTCACATCTACAAATTCGTAACACAGTTGGCTTTCAGAAGCCTCCGATGGGAATCAACTGTCTTTACATATTAAAAAGAAACTAACCTTATTATAAGCAAATTCTTATGTCAAAGATAAATTTATTTCTCTTCTGGCAGTATTTCTGAGAAGACTCTTGTCTGTTGACCTTGTTTAATATTTTGTGAACACAATCCCTCAAACACTTAAAACCTAGGCAAAAATGCAGCCAAAACTAACCTCAAATATAACTTAAACAGGCATTTCCATGTAGTAACTCTATCTTACCCTTTCTCCAAAACTGTCAGAATTGAGTATATTTAATTCAGAAATAGTATGGTGGTACTTTCACCTCTAAATTATACTCAAGCCTCTTAACAATAGACAAATGCTAAAAT